AAAAGTTACCTAAATTGTCATCAATAATATATAAATTCAATACTCTCGCAGACTTTATTTTTCCAGCAATTCATCAGTGTCAGAAAAAGAATAAGTGTCTATTCATTTTTACATTTGGTTTCTTACGTGAAAGTACAAAATGGAATTCAAAATAACTAGTAAACATAAAAATAACAGGGGTAAAAGAAATGGATCAATTGATTGAGCATCAGGAAGAAAAACTACCATTTGTTAATATTTAGTTTTTAAATTAATGAATTCCAAATCTCAGCATAACCCACAATCTAGTCCTGAATTACAACGAGTTCAAGTTGATAGCACTTTTGAACATGATCGAGGTGAGTGCTGGACTCGCAATTTCGCCGAGCAGTTTCCAGTAAAGTCTATACAGCAGCATGGTCATCATGCCATCATAGATGTAGATGAACCCCACTTGGGTTATGTTATTGAATCATCTATTACGGATGATAGTATAAATGGAAGGGCTACTCTAACCTCAGAAAAGGGAACGGTAGTGGCCAAATTCAATTTTGTCGATGGGATTGCTGATGGACCTTGTACACTCTATGATGAAGACGGCATACTGTTTTATGAAGGATACTTCAAAAATGGATATCGCCAGGGAAATGGAAAGCAGTATGATAGGCAGGGAAATGTTGTATTACAAGGATTATTTGATATGGGTAAGAAACTGAGCATCAAAGAGATGACTGAAATGAACGGATACTGGATTGAGTATGATACATATGGCCAACTCGTAAATGTGAGCAAAAGAGATGAGTATGGGAGAAAGAATGATATTTGTTATTTCTACAATAGTGAAGGGGAAATCTGTAAAATAAGCAAATGGAAAGACGGCATAGAAATTTCTACATCTGGCTCCTGTGTCATCTTTGATGTAGTACAAGGTATTTGGTTTCAAGGCCGTTACAAAAATGGACTTCGTGTCGGAAGAGGCAAGGAATACGATGATAATGGGGTTATCAAGTTCGATGGGTTTTTCTGCAACGGGAAAAGGCTAAACATGATCAAAATGAAAGAGATGAATGGTTATTGGAAAGAAGTGGATGATGAAGGCAAACTATTGAACATTAGTAAGAGAAATGACTCTGGTGAAATGAACGGTACTTGTTACCTATTTAATGATGATGGTGAGATTTGCAAGATAAGTGAATACAAAAAGAACAAAGAAATTCGCATACTGAAATCCTTTGTAAACAATATTATGATTGAATATTATAAAGGGGTGAAAAGATATGAAGGAGAATATATAAACTCACTAGTATTTCATTATCCACGGAATGGAATGGGAAGAGAATATGATTATGAAACGAGGTCCGTTATTTATGAAGGCAACTACTATAATGGAAAACGACATGGAGCTGGAAAATCGTTTTACAATAAAGTGGTTCAATATGATGGCATATGGATAAACGGCACAACAAAAGGAGTCTATTATTTCAAAAAGGTAGTAGAAACTGGTATCGGAGCTTTTATTCTGTTTCTTGCAGGCTATGGTGACATGATGCTGGCTGTAATATGGGTGTTCTTTTACATTGGCTGTATTCATTATATTTGGAAACCAATTGTGGTTGAATGTGTTAGTACAATTTCACAATCATCACAACTCGACAATCTCAGTCTACAGATCACCGACCTAGTAGTAGCACCCAATAGTTGTAATAGCACCATAAAGAAACTGGATTTGAGCAATTACAAATGGTTAAAATCAATACAAATTGGTGATGACTGCTTTGGCTTGGTGAAGACGGTACTAATTGAGGACTTGATGAAGTTAAAAACGCTGAAAATATCCAAAAACAGTTTTTCGCAAAAGAGAAAAGCATCTAGTAAAAAGAAGAGATCCTTTCGAGTGATTAACTGTGCAGAATTAATTACTATAGAAATCGGCGAGCATAGTTTTTATGATTTTGGGGGTGAATTCGTATTAAGAAATCTCCTCAACTTACAGTCCATTAGCATTGAGAGTTTTTGCTTTGGAGAAATTACATCGTTTATAATAACCAAATTGCCAAAGCTAAAGAAATTAGTAATCACCAATAATTCTTTTTTTAGTGATCCTACTCTATGTGCTGGAAGCGAGTATAAGGCGTTCCAAATAACGAATTGCGAACAATTAGAATTGATCGAAATCGGAAGTAATTGCTTTTCTGATTTTGCGGGTAAGGTAGAACTCAAGAATCTTCCGCTGCTGCATATTATTTGTATTGGTGATAATTGTTTTGGTTCCGTTAAAACATTTCATATTGATGGACTGAATCAATTGAGATGTATCAAAATTGGAAAGAATTCTTTCACTGAGAAATCAAATTGTTCCAGAATAAAAAAAACGAAATCATTCCATGTTGTAAATTGTGTTGAATTAGAATCGATTCAGATTGGAGAATATAGCTTCTCGGATTATTCGGGAGACTTTGAATTGAAAAACTTGTTCTCGTTACGTTCCATTGTCATAGGATCTATGAAAATGTATTCTTCGAACTTCTATTATTGTTCATTTATAATTCGAGGTATAAAGTTCTGTTGAACAATGATTGAAATAGATTTACCCAATTTGCAGTCTATTACACTAGGTAATGAAGCATTTGCTGAGTCTGTAGTAACAGTATTGGAGAGTATATCATCGTATTAAATATGGAATCATTATTAGATCTTCCTTCATTACAAAGTCTCAATCTCAGTCATCGATCATTGAGTGGAAAAGAAGGTGTTCCATCCTGTTCATTGATAATGCGAAGTATGAATTATACTATATTTAATGAGTGGATTTAGATTTACCAAATTTGTCATCTATATACAATCCGGAAGGGGACAGTTTCCGATATGTATATTCCGTGATATTAGAAAGTAAATTTGATAATAATGATGATGATTGAACTAGATATTCCTTCACTTCAGAATGTGAAATTGCTCAATTCGTTTTCTAAAGTTCTTTATCCCTCGATAACGAGTCATTTCATTGATATTTGTTAAGTCAATAGATGTCCACCACTTGCTTACTCAATTCCTTACTGATGTTATCTATCATGCTGACACCATTCAATCGATTCAATCAACCGTTACGTCTATTTCTTTGCCTAACTGGACTTGTAACGATCCGGAGTATCAGATATTCGATTTTTCTCGTTTTGTTGCTCTTCAATATTTAGTAATTGGTGATAATTGTTTTGGTTCCGTTAAAACATTTCATATTGATGGACTGAATCAATTGAGATGTATCAAAATTGGAAAGAATTCTTTCACTATGGAGAAAAATGGTGATGGGAGAGATCCGACCAAATCATTCCATGTTGTAAATTGTGTTGAGTTAGAATCGATTCAGATTGGAGAGTATAGCTTCTCGGATTATTCGGGAGACTTTGAATTGAAAAACTTGTTCTCGTTACGTTCCATTGTCATAGGATCTATGAAAATGTATTCTTCGAACTTCTATTATTGTTCATTTATAATTCGAGGTATAAAGTTCTGTTGAACATTGATTGAAATAGATTTACCCAATTTGCAGTCTATTACGCTTGGCTGCTATTCTTTTTCAGATTCATTGACAACAATATTGGAGAGTATATCATCGTATTAAATATGGAATCATTATTAGATCTTCCTTCATTACAAAGTCTCAATCTCAGTCATCGATCATTGAGTGGAAAAGAAGGTGTTCCATCCTGTTCATTGATAATGCGAAGTATGAATTATACTATATTTATTGAGTGGATTTAGATCTACCAAATTTGTTATCTATATACAATCCGGAAGGGGACAGTTTCCGATATGTATATTCCGTGATATTAGAAAGTAAATTTGATAATAATGATGATGATTGAACTAGATATTCCTTCACTTCAGAATGTGAAATTGCCCAGTTCGTTCAGTCGCATCACATCAAAATCTGTTCTAAGTAAGTATTTTGCAATGCGTTTATTGTAGATGTTTCTACGGTTTTTTTAAGTATAATAAAATGATTTTTTCGATTTTTATGAATCTCTGTATCCAAGTCGAATGAAGAGCATAATAGTGTAGTATCATTTTATTGTTTTTTTCTACCAACAAACAAATGTTGGATTCATATTCATTATCCAATTTTGGTTAAGTAACAGGGAATTGAAGATCTTTCTTACAACAGCATACTAATTGTCATTTTCAACCTATCGTACTTAATTGTCGTACACCATATGCCCTTTTCTGCAACAATTCATCCCCACACTTGATTATTCCTTTCATGACGGTTCCATTGCTTGACATAATCTGCCACAAAATCTATTTTCTCAATTCATAAAAAATGGCAAACAATGTGTTTTTGTCACCAATAATACACTTTGTCTTTCCCTCTTAATTCGAAATTACTTTTTTATCACTAGCCCTTTTAGCCATTTATTTCTTTATCCCCTTTCTCGTTGTTCTTTACTATTGCCTATAGTAGCGACTTCCACAAAACTTTTTTATTAAGAAATAATTGTATATCTTCTTTAAGCATAGTTTACACAAATAGGTTGCCTCAAGTGCAAATTCCTGAGCATCATAATTCAAAATAAGTATGTATTCGCTATAATATATTTATATTCCTTTCAATATGAACGGTTTATATTCTCATTCACCAGTAATTGTTTTCGCCTATTTCTTTTTATGATCCTATCGACTAGGTTCATTGATTAAAAATGAACCTGCCTATAAAATCATTGAATAGCACACTCACGATTCCTTTAGGCGATTATCTGCTTAAAATGTTTCTATTATGCTCTACTTGAATGTAGTCGTAATTTGCCACTGGATATTGCATCACTCTCTGCGAATTCTCGCTTTCTCCTGATGAATGGTTCTTTTCTTCATTCTATTTAAAAATAGTTGTGCTGCTTCCAATTACGTTTGATTCATTTAAAATTCGACCTCCTTTGAACATGATTAACGTATCCTCTGCAAGTTCAATGGTAGAAAAGCTCAAAGCTGTGAATGCATAGAGAGAGTTGCTTCAGGTTATCATTACAATGTTTATATCTCAAAAGATCCAAAATGTCCTTACCAGTGGTCATACTTTAAGATATGAGGATGCTGTCTCCAATTCACTCTCTTCAACGAACGAATTTTTCTTAACAAAGGAATGGAACGATATTTGGAGGGTGATTGGGAGTGACGAAGTCTTTTTAATGCTAACAACGTATTCTCTTTTTCTATTACACAATAAGTCATGGATCCAGCTGGCTGGACCTCCTTTGAATGAGTTTCTAACTCGAAGTGGGAGATCGCCCCATTTGAGCTCCTTTTCGATTTCTTCCTTGTGCTATCGATTGTCTTTTTCCAAATCCTATGGCTTTCCTTCCACCCACATTTTCGCGAAGCTAAATCGTCTAAATGGCACGCTAATGGGGAAAACGTTTGTCAAAACGATTCACAAACAAACAGCTTTGATCTTGCTTCACGAAATGCTACGTCCTTGCTATCCTCACTGGGATTCCTTTTCTTTGAATGAAGAAATCGATGCGGTCGCAACAGGCAAGAAGATTCGCATTCGGTTTTATCCCCGCTTAGAAAAGTTGCTCGTTTTGGTAGCGAAAGTTTTGTTTAACTCGACTCAAATTCCTTACGGAGTTTATTTGCATTCTGTCGCTCCCCTGCCATCGAGTTATCTGCGCTATAATTCTTGTCAGTGCGTTCATTTAACTCAAAACATTCAGCTGTATGATTCGATCCCTTCATTGCCGAAAGATTCAAAGATTGGATCGACCTCAAAGGACAATCTCTCAGCATTTGTGTCTTCGCATCAAGTTTTTGACTTTGTTCGAAAATGTTTGCGTCGATTGCTTCCGCATTCTCTCTTTTCGTCTCGACGCAATTGGAGATCTTTTTATAATCATATCTATTTGCTGATTAGCAGCACAAAGAAAAGCGGACTCCGGTTAGACGAGATGGTTCGTGGAATCAAACTGCACGATATTGATTGGTTAAAGACTTCTGGAAAACCCACAAGCGATACTTCTCGATTCAATACGCTTTTGCTTTATTCAGTAATGTCGTTCCTCATTAAGAGCATTGTCGTTTTACAACTTCTTTTTCGCTTGATCGATTAGTTTCCACTCATTTCAAACCATTTTTATGTGACAGATTGTTCGATTCCTTATCACTCTCTCATTTTTTATCGCAAACCCGTTTTTTGTGCGATTGTGCGCGATCAACTTACCACAGGATATTATGCATCCCTCTACTCTTCAGTATTCTCTTTCCATCTTTTTTATGGCTTATATTTCTAGAGTTATCCCAATTCGTATTCTCGCGTCGCTCAGATTCATTTTGTCCCGAAAATGAAGGCAGGAGGGAAATTGTTTTCGGGAGTTCGACCAATTACAAATATGAAAAGACTGTATCTTTGTTGCTCTTCGAGAATTGAATTCGTAGAGAAAGTACAAGGCGAATCCGTTCCGTTTTTTGCATTCTCCAGTCGGTTTTCCGAGAAAAGAAGAAGGAGGTGGTTCATGGGAATCATTGGATTGCGGTAGAAAACATTGGAGAAGGGCGAAGCGAAGTTTGCAATTCGTGGAAAGCGAATAAGCAATGGATAGCTTCCTTTGATGTAACAAAATGTTATGATTCGATAAATCTTGTATTCGTTCTATTGCTATTTTTGTGAATAGAATGTTCTATTGGATGTTGTGAATTCTTCTCTGAAAGACTATTATCGAGTGATTCATTTCTCAACGATTTCGATTGCTGCAAAGTGGAAACTGCGAGTACTATCGATTTTGATGTTTCTTTTGTAGAGACATTGCTTGTTAATTCCGCTTGATACTGATATCTCCAGCTTTTTCCGCAGTTTTGTGGATGACAAGGAAATTGTAGTGACTGGATTTATCGTCTCGGATCTGTTCAATCGTTCCTCCGTGATCGAAACGATTCGCTGGAACTTTTCTTCTCTTCTTGTTCACTTGCACAACCAATTCTTTAAACAAACACATGGAATTCCTCAGGGTTCGATTCTTTCTTTTCCTTTGTGCAACTTGTATCTCAGAGAATTCGAAAAGCGAGTTCTCTCCCCGGTTGTGCATTCTCCTTTTCAAACCACCGTGATTCGGTTTGTAGACGATTACCTTTTCATCACATCTGACAAATCAGTCATCACGCAGCTTGAGAATTATGTGTGAATTTGATGTGGCTTCTTCTCACGCGTAGCTGAAGAGAAATACGCCCAATCAATTCAACATTCGTCTTGAGAGCCGAAAGCAGCATTATTTCGATGTACGGAGTGGACGAAAAACGGTCATCGATTATCTCACTTCTTGGTGTGGCTACACGATCAACAGCAAGCACAAATTCATTTACACCAACTTTTTAAAATACACAGACTTTCGTAAATCTAGAGTTCGGCGAATTTACGTTGTTTGTTCGTTCTGCATTTGATGCGATAGGATTCCACTTCGTTTTCCTCCATTTATCAAACCATCTTTCTCGTGCTGCGCGCTCGACTGCATTCCAGTCGCATTTCGGGCGATTCTTCGAAAGAGAACATTCGAATTGTGGTGTACGGCAGCGTGCTGTTCGCAGTGAAGCGAACGCTGCGAGACTACCGAGTGTATCGATTCAATCAAATGAAAAGGCTGATAGCAAGTACGGTTCGGATTGTGAAACGGCGCGTTTGGATCGAAGTGGAGGAGATTGGATGGCTTGTGAATCACGCGTTTCTTGTGGTGATTCGGAAGTCGCGTTGTTATGAGAAGACTAGAAACTATTTGTATTGGAAGATCATGCGATCGGCTGTGCGCGATGAGTTGATTCACATTACTCAGCATCCTTCCATTCAATTGATTTTGTAGTTGTTGATTTGTTTGAGTTGAGTCATTCTATGAATGTGGTATTGATATTGTTGTTGTTGTTGTTGTTGTTGCTTGCATTCTTCAACTTCTTCTTTCTATTATAATTTTTATTATCACTATACTATCATCCTTTTCATTGTTCAATCGTTTTTTGTTCCTATGACCTATTCATTACTTCAATTCCTTCTGTATCCAATAAACAAAATCTCAACTTTTGACTTCTTTTCTTTAAATAAAATAAAAACTGCAATTACGGATTGACTATGAACTCGTTTTCCAACTTCTTGAGATGCTGATTCCTCTCATCCACATGGATTTTGGCCCATTTCTCTTCCTGGCTGTGAATGAACGACTCCTCCATCACTGGAAAATCGGGAACTGCAAACGAATACTTCTGATTCTGCTTGTGTTGAAGAACCAACAGCTCAAGACTTTCTTCTTCCTTTCCACTTGCAAAATGCGCGCTGTTGATAATGACTTTGAGCCACAACGAGCGACTGTACCCAGCAATCTAACAATAATACAATTCATATTTCCACCACAGATTTTTTAGACTCTTCGATCCGAATAAGGTGAAGATCATCAAACAAGTGAATAGAAGAAGTTCTTTTGAGTTCAATTAATGCAGCCTATTCCTTATCTTCTTAGAAGCTGATTGCTACATTTGCTAAGCGATCAATATCATCTGTCTGTTTCAACCATTTCTCGTCAGAAATATCACCAGACGCATATGCCGACAGAAAGAGAACGGATAAGATTACTAGTTGACAAAAGAGCTGCTTCATAATAATCTTGTGTTGCGCTTCCAAGATATTTGTGTAAACTCTAAAAGAGCGTTTTTATGGACCCTTCTCTTTCTGGCCATCAGTCATCTGCCTCTTCTTCTTCCATAGTGGAACGTTATGAAATAGTACATGTTGTTCGTGAGATTAGGATCCTAGATATCCTCGATCGGTTCTGGAACATATGGGAAAGTGTATTTGAATTTTGATCTTCCATTGATGGGATAGGTATAAAGTGCGAGACCGCCATACAAAGGAAACGTTGGCGCTGAAGGTAATGCCCATGTCGAACGAGGAAGAAGGGATTTCTCCCGTGTTTATTCGCGAGATATCGATTTTGCGCGAATTGCAGCACCCAAACATCGTGAAGTGCGTTTTCCGCTTGTTCCTTAATTCTAGACTGCGTAGCGTGGTTATGGGTGCCACCGAAATCAAACTCTACTTCGAGTATCTCGATTACGACTTGAAGACCTATTCCAACCAATTCAGCGGCGGAATCCCCATGGAGACCATCAAATCGATCGTCTTCCAGATTTTACTCGGCCTTCGCTACCTCCATGTCAACCGCATCATCCACCGCGACATCAAACCCCAAAACATTTTAATCAGTTCCCCGCGGAACGTCAAAATCGCCGACTTCGGCCTCGCCCGCTCCTTCGCCTTCCCCCTCCGCCATTACACCCGCGACGTTTCCACGTTTCCACGTTTCCACGTAGGTGGTCACGTGGTGGTACCGCGCCCCCGAAATTTTCCTGGGCTGCACGAACTATTCCCCCGCGATTGACGTCTGGTCGCTCGGCTGCGTCTTCGCGCAGCTCGTCAACCGGTTTCCCCTTTTCCCCGAGGACAGCGAGATCGGGACGCTCTTCGCCATCTTCAAGTGCGCGCGGTTCGATCGAATTCGACGTAGAATGCTCGGAACCCCCGATGAAACGGTCTGGCCGGGCGTTTCGGCGCTCCCCGACTTCAGTCCGCTGTTCCCGAAGTTCCCCGTGCGCGGGATTCAGAAGCAGGTGCCCGCGCTGGATCGGGAGGGCGCGGATTTGCTGGCGGTAGGATGATGATGAGCATGATGATGATGATGATGTGTAGAAGATGTTGACACTGTATCCGCCAGACCGAATTACGGCCGCAGAGGCGATTAATCACCCGTGGTTTGACGACGTGCGGATGTTTTTTCCCGATGAGGAGTATCAGTCGTATTTATTCTTCACTGTTTGTTTGAATCATGGCATCGATCGCGGAACAACTCTGGGAGAAGTACCTCCCGGATGCTTATTGCTCTCTGTACGCAAGATTCGGGAGAAAATGAGCCTCCTAGGTATAATCCCTGGGTCGTGGGTATTGCGACTGGCAAGCTGCCGAAGGCTGCGTGGCTTGACTATTTGCAGCAGGATACGTTCTATTTGAGGTAAAATCCTGAAGGATGGCTGAAGTGTAGTATCTACGAGAAGGCCTACTTCCGGGTGATTGAGCTTTGCAAAGAGCGCGGAGACGACTACCACCGCGAGATCTGCGAGGCTATTAACTCCGTGGTTCGCAGAGAGCTCGATTCCCATGTAAAGAAGACAAATGAGTCAGGCGAGGCGATGGAGGAATTCAAGGCAAAGAAGGCGACGCGTGATTACACGGATTTGGTGGTCAATGCGTATACGAATGGTTGCCTTTCCGAAATCGTGACGGCCCTGTGTCCTTGCAACAAACTGTATGTGATTTTTGAATCGAAAAAGGGATGTGTTTAACATGGTAGATACGACTTTATTGGTCACGAGATCGCTGCGATCTTCCCCGACCACAACCACGCTTACAGCGATTGGATCCGCATATACGCCAGTGAAGACCTGACCGTACCTCCGTACACACATCGCATTGATACTTTAGCGTTCCTCCGATCAGCTGTACGAGATGATGAGCTCCTTCCCCGCGGTAATGAATTGTGTTCCCCGTGACCCGCAGCCCGCCGACCCGAATTCTTTGGAACACTATTTCAGCGAGGCCATGCGATTGGAGTACGAGTTTTTCGACCAGCAAGATCACGTGCCGCCACTTTTTACCGCCAAATTTATTCAATTCGTGGGGGTCGGAAACGCCCAGCCCGTAGAACCGCGGTTCTGGCACGTGAGGAGTAGAGCGAGTGGGAACACAGTCCGGAATACAAACACCGCATCGAAACACTATTCCAGGAGGACGTTTCATTGGAGAAACTTTTGGAGGCGCTCCGCGCCGCGCCTGAAACCCCCGCGGGAACCGTGGAATCGGCGGCGTCGCGGCGCTTTTTGTCGCTTTCCCGCGATTCTGGGAAGGTTGTCAAGCCGTTGACGGAATTGTGTTCCGCGTCGATTCCATCGAATTCGCTGGGCTTCGGCTCCTTCGCCGAGCTGCCCGCGCTGCTGGGGCGTTTCGCGATTGCGGTTTTGATGCAGCCGAGCGAAGCGGAGCGGTCGCTGCTGCAGCGCTGCGGCGTGGAGGTGCGTCGATTGCTGTGGGTCTTCCAGTTCGATCCCGCCTCTTTGTAATATTATTTTTTTTACGCAATCTGATTGGCAGACCCAAAAACGTCGTTTATTACGTCGAAAATCCCGCGGAACTCGGCATGACTCTCTGCGGAAACGCCTATTACCCGCGGCAACACGTCCCTCACATCCCCACGGTTCTCGCAATCGCGGGAAACGACTCCTGCGGAGGCGCCGGAATCCCCGCGGATATCAAGACGGCGACGATGCTGGGCGTGTACTCGGCGCCGTGCATAACCGCGGTGACGGTGCAGAACTCGCGGGGCGTTTCGAAGATCGTGATGATGACCGGAGCGTGTGTGGAGGAACAGATCAGCTGGGTGTGCGACGACATACACGTGGACGCGGTCAAGATCGGCATGACCGGATCGTTGGACGTGATCCGCGCGATTACCGCGGGGATCCGCAAGTTCCAGTTCAGAAACGTGGTTCTGGACCCCGTTATGGTGGCCACCAGGTAGGGGATTCCCGCGGGGATGACCGGTAGCGGGGACAAACTGACGAGCGGAGACATCTGCGAGTGTCTGAAGAACGAACTGCTGCCGCTCTGCACGATCGTGACCCCTAATCTACCCGAGGTGGGCCCTATTTGATTATATGTCCCCGAATAGACCTCCTTGTTATTGGGTCGGACGGTGAGTGGAAACGTGGAAGAGATGAAAACCGCGGCAAGAGAATTGGGACAGCTGGGATGTCCCTATGTCCTGGTGAAGGGCGGCCATGTAGGTGGGATCCCATGCTTTTGATAGGCAGATGGAGGGCGAGCAGGCGGTGGATGTGCTATATTCGCGGGAATCCGACGATTTTTGCGAGTTCTCGGATTGGGTCGTGTACACAGGAAATAACCACGGAACCGGGTGCACGCTGTCGTCTGCGATCGCAGCGAACTTGGCGAAGGGTTTGCCGATGAGGGAGGCGGTGAAGAATGCGAAGAAGTATGTTCATGATGTCCTGGAGGGAAGTCGCTTCCTACGTATTGGAAGAGGAGTTCAGGGACTGATGAATCATATGTGCACGCAATATCTTTATGAGTGATATTGCTCGTGTTTGGCTTGCCATGCACTCTTTGTTTGTTGCAAATGCAATCTCCCCACAAGAAGGAGTGGAGGGGGCCGTCCCAGAGTTATAACAAGCGGGAATGTCTGAGGTAGGCCGCGGTTGCCTTTTTCCACATAGCTGCAAGATTTGGGGAAGTGGGATTTGCTTCGGGTGCAGTGCCTATGTCTTTTATCATTATAAAAAGATGCCCATCGCAAAGGTCGCCGACAGGCGATTTAGCTTGGTCATTTGTGCTCTTTTCGCAGGACTTGGGATCTATAACTCTATCGCATACTCCTCTGTTTTTTTGCAACAAACACCGAATGGTAGATCATCCTATTCGACGTTTTAGGCAGAAGCCTCCATAGCGGCTCTCTTCTGGTTGAGAAGGGCAGTCGCCTGCTCGGCAAGCTGCTTCTCCTTCTTGTCCTCACCCTTCTTACGGTGGATCTGCTCAATCAGCACACGCTTGGTCTTGTAACGGTTACCCTTGGCCAGAGCGTAGAAGTGAGCGTACATGTGCTTGTCGATCTTGCCGGCATCACGGTACTTGCGCAGCAGTCTACGGAGCACACGAATACGACGCATCCAGAGCAGCTTCTCGGGAATACGGGCGTTCATCGTTCCGTGACGCTTACCGTAACCAGTGTGGTTGCCGCGGGCCTTGGCCTCGTGACGAATGTTCACACGAGCACGAGAGTGCATCAGGTTGTGCTTCTTCACGATCATTCCGTTCTTGATCATGGAGCGCACGCTCTGGCGGGAGTTGGCAACGGCAATGTTGCTCACCTCGCTGGGATCCATCCAAACCTTGCGCTTACCGCACTTCAGCACGGCGGCAGCGAGTCTCTTCTGAAGCTTCAAGCTGACCATAGTTTTAGGGAATTCTACCAGGAATTTATTGGGAATGTGGTGAGATTGTGGTGAGATTTGCGATTCCTGGAAATTTCCGGGAATTTAAAGGGAGTCGAAATAGTCTGGTTTTTGGGAAATTTGCGAATTGTCCCGATTATTCTTGAGTGATGAATGATCGAGCAAGAATGATTAATTAGAGAAATAATAATTATAAAAGGAGAGAGAGATACACATCCATCCCAATAGAGATACGATCACCCTTTACTTCCTCGTCTTTGCAACAAACAATGCACGTTTTACCAGCTGTCCAACTTCATCGTTCCCTTCTCCTCCAGATTGACATGCATCTTGTGAGCGAGCTTGAGAATCTGCGGCTCGTGTCCGGCTCCCTCCGCAAGGCACTTCTTCTCGGCCATCTTGTAGTAGTCCATGAGCTGGTCGCGATAGTCGGGATGAGCGCAGTTCTTAATGATGCACTGCGCTCTCTGTCTGGGCGACAATCCACGCAGGTCAGCAAGTCCCTGCTCGGTGACGATCACATCGAGATCATGCTCGGTGTGGTCGATGTGCGCGGCCATCGGCACGATGCAGGAAATGCCCGTGGGGTCGGTCTTGCTCTTTCGGGCGGAGGGCGTGTGCATGATGGAGAGATAGGCGTTGCGGAGGAAGTCTCCGGAGCCGCCGAGGCCGTTGATCATCTTGGTGCCGCCCACCAGCGAGGAGTTGGCGTGCGCGTACATGTCCACCTCCACCGGCGTGTTCATCGCCACCACGCCCAGACGACGCACGATCTCCGAGAAGTTCGCGATGGCCTCGGGGCGGATCACGCAGCGGTTCTTGTAGAAGTCCAGGTTCTTGTAGAAGCGCTCGAAGCCGGCAGGGGAGAGCGACAGCGACACGGCGGAGGCGTAGTCGAGCTTGCCCGCGTCGAAGAGATCGAGCACGGTGTCCTGCAGGACCTCCGACCAGACTGCGCAATGAGCCAAACAGAGTCAATAGAGTACCTTGGAGATGCTCGAAGTGGCTGCCAGCGAGGCCGCCGATCACGGCGTTGGCGATGTTGCCCACGCCGGACTGCAGAGGCAGCAGATTGGCGGGGAGACGGCCCTGCTTGACCTCGTTGTCGAAGAAGTCCATGATGTGTCCGGCGATCTTCTTCGAGTTCTCGTCCACCGCGGAGAAGCCACGGCCGTTATCGGGCAGCGTGCTCTCCACCACGGCCACCACCTTGGTCTCGTCGAAATAGGCGAGATCGGAGCCGATGCGGTCGTCCACGCGGGAGATCAGGAAGGGACGACGGTGCGGAGGACGCGGGTCCGCCACGATATCGTGGATGCCGCGCAGCACGGGCAGAGAGGTGTTCACCTCGATGACGATCTTGTCGGCCAGAGCGAGGATCTCGGGAGTGATACCCACACCCGTTCCCAGGACCAGACCTCCGTCCTCGGTGATGGCAGTCGCCTCCACCACGGCGATGTCCAGCTTGCCGGGGTTCGTGGCGTGGTCCTTCGTGAAGAAACCCCAGGAGAGGTTCTGGGCGAAGGCGGACAGGTGGATATCACCCATCTCGATCTTGCCGGTGTTGATGCCCTTGGCAATGTTCTTACCGGTCTGGTAAGGCCAACGACTAGTCTATGAGACGGAAGCAACCAAACGTACCGAGAAATCATACCCAGCTTGGCCCAGCGATCCTCGGTCTCGGCACCCACAGAGGCTCCAGCAAACAGCTCAAACTGAAGCTTCGCTCCCTCCTTCTCCACCATATCAGCAACAGCAATGGGAACCACCTTGGGATATCCAGCAGGGGTGAATCCAGACCAACCGACCGTCATTCCGTTCTTGAAGAACTTGTGGGCCACTTCAGTAGGGGTCATGACCTTGCTAAGAAGGCTCTTGCGAGCACAACGACTGAGAAGAGATGCAGACATCTTTCTAGGGGTTACAAGGGACAAAAAGCAGGTACCAAACCAAATAAGAAATAATGTAGAAAAGGGGAAGGGCGTTTCCCCAGATAAGCACAATCCTGGTACCAATCAAAATCTAGATGGTAAACCAGCGATTTGAATTTTGGAAATCGTACGTAAATGTTCAGAAATAGGAAAGGAAAGGAAAATATAGTAGGATATTGCAACTCGTTTCTACAGGCAGAATCAATTACCAAAGGTAGGAAATGAATGCTCAGCGGGTATTTTTACAATCCCATGTTGAATGAACAAATTGTGGTTTTGAAAATGAATACAACCAAACAAGGAAACGATTTTGAAATGTGTTTGAAAAGAGAAGCATAGTAAAATAGCATGTATCAACGATCCTCCTACAGACCTATCATTTTCACAAACATATAGACTCCATCCACCTCAAGTATTTCTTGATGGATTTTCTGGGCAAAAAGAGCGGCCCTCAAAAAAGCAAAGTCACTCAGAACGAGTACAGTCTGCCGTTTTATCGAACGGAAGACCTGGACTTGTTGCCAGCTGAAATTAGCATTGATGATTTTGAATCCTATGCGAGCCATCGAATAGAAAGTAGGAATCAGTCAAGGAATATCTGATTGGAGTAGTGTATAGCATTCTTGAGAACAAACTACAAAGACGCGATACGAAAGATGATGCTGGAGGAGAACTAAAGAAGAAAATAAAATATTATGAGGAACATCCTGTATGTGGAAGAGGTGTGGTTTTTCGTGTAGGAGGAAGATATCATATCCCACTTTATATTACGTGCCGCCTTTTCTTCAAACCAAACAGATAGTGGTCGATTTGTGTCCCTAGAAAAATACTTATTCGAGTTTTTCCTTTTTGCTGTTCTAACGCCTAGCTATCGCCTCGACCCTGATAATCTAAACTCGATCGTGAATAAACTCGGTCTTTCGATCCGTCAGGTGGACTCCAAGTTCATGAAGGGCAAGTTTTCGGAGTTCGACTGGACGTTTGAATCTGACTACTACGTTCTCGACTTTGAGCAATTCGCCTTTTCCGTACGTTCTTCCCTTTCCTATCATTTCACCCCCAGCTCAGCAACCCCGCGGTATTTCTCGACGGCGGCAAAGTGTACTTCCCCGCGAAAGAGCTGCGCTCCTTCCTCGCCTCCCAATTCGAGCAGGAGCTTCTCGACGGTCTCAAGCACTTCGCCGCGCAGCCGTTCCGCTTCGCCGATCCTCGCTTCGCCTCCTCGCTCTCCCAGATGACCAGCCTTGTGGGATCCCCCCCTTTTTCCTCACGTGCAGCTGGTCGGCGACGAGCCGGCTCCCACCTCGGAGGTCTCGGTGGAGTCCATCCCCGCGGTGAGTCCCCGTTTATGCTGAAATGACGCGTAGTTAGCGAATCGGTCGTTCCCTCTGTGCATGAAAGCGATGTACCTGCATCTCTGCAAGACGCATCATCTCTTCTACGACGGCCGCGAGCAGCTGGGCCGGTTCCTCCGCGGCATCGGGCTGAGCGTGGAGGGCGCGCTGGCGTTCTTCCAGCAGCAGTTCACGGCGAAGCTGTCGGTGGAGAAGTTCACGCGGCAGTACGCGTATAATATTCGGTATCTGTACGGACTGGAGGGCCGGCGCGTGCCGCTGAACGCGCTGCCGTGCTCGGTGATGATGAAGACGCGGCCTACTGGGCAGCAGTGTCATGGATGTCCGTTCGTGTATATGCAGGATGCGGCGTTGGAGCAGCTGCTGCGGACGCTGCGAGTGAGGGAAGAAGCGATCGGAAACATCGTGGCATACGCAAAGGAACAGAAGGTGGAGGTAGGCGAGCGGAGGAAGGGCGAGCGGTAGATGGCGTGCAGAGAACACTTCTTGGCGACGCATCCGGGGTATCCGAACGAGGGAGTACGCGCGGAGGAGGGAGATGAGGGGTAGATTGCGCTGAACCCGGTAACGTGGTTTGTGAAGAGTCAGAAGTATTTTGAGGAGAGAGAGAAGGAGAAAGAAAAGAAATGAGCAGAGGAAGGAACGTTGCTTCATCGTTCGTTGGGTGTCTCTTCCATTCAATGATTCATTAAAAAATTCATGGATTCTCTAATTCACTGATTCACTGATTTATTGAATGGCTGAATAATTGGTTGGCTTTTTCTTGTTTGTTGGAGTTTCGTTTTGTACGTGTTTTCTGGACAAATAACCATTCTTTAGACTTGGATTATTTTCGTTCGGTTGATATTCATAGAGTCTAGATTAAATGGAGGCAATATTAGACTTCTCTAAACCTGTTGATCCTAGATTAGTGGATGAAGTGATTACTGCATTCTACACTCCTGGTCATCCCCTAGTAATGCATTTTTGATATTGTTTACCGTAGCAATCAAAGGCGGGAGAATTGTTATATCGCTTCAAAGAAGATGACCGCTCTTGGATGGCAGCGGATGCTATTATAAGCGGATGTAGCAATCCTAGGAGTATCTTCTTTGCCCTCGTTGTAAGTGCTTGCTCTCGCTTGCTTTATGCGTAGCTTCTCGAGGATATGGTGCAGAAAAAGTGGCAAGTGATTCCCGCGGAGCAGCGTGAATCGGTAAAGAGCTTCGCGTTAAATCAAGTGATGTCGGTAGGCGTTCGTTCGTTCGTTCTATGAACTGTAGTACTCTGCCACGATGGAATCCGTCCAGCAGAACGAGGAACTTTTACACAAGTGGGACATCATTTTAGTAGAGATCTTTAAGAAGGAATGGCCGAACAGCTGGTCTTCCTTCATCCACGATCTGGTGGTCGCGGCCACCGTGAGCGAGAGTCGCTGCATCAACAACATTTACATTCTGAAGATCGTGATCGAGGACGTTTTCCAGTTCGGCAGTTCCGAGTTCACCTCCAAGTTCAACTCGCAGATCCGCGAAGGTCTCCGGAAGGACATCGCGGAAGTATACAACGTAGGCGTTTCCTTGGAAGCCATATGATCGGCAGCTCTGCACGCAAGTTCTGGTCAACACGGAAGTGGTTTCGCTCATCATCGACGCCGTGAACATCATCCGCCTCACGCTGGCCTATCTGCCCGACGAGCAAGTCTTCGACTACAATCTCTCCTCCATTCTGCTCCAGGGCCTCCACCAGGACGCGCTGCGCCTCGCCTGCATGCTCTGTCTCCAAGAGATCCTCTGCCACCCGCGCGCCGGCAAGTTCCCCGCGCTCGTCTCCCAGTCCCTGACGCGCTTCCTCCAGTTTTTAGCGGTGCGGATCGTGGAAACCGGTGAAACGCAGGGGTACATCGACCTCGAGATGGACATCGAGGCCTGCTACGCCTCGCTCCCGCAGGAGCTCCGCGTGTTCCTGCTGAGCCTGGCGCTGTTTCTGAGCTCGGTGGCGGCGCAGCACAAGGCGATGCTGGTGGCGCAGTCGCTGGCGCTGTACCAGCAGGTGTGCAGACTGCTGCTGTTCCTGTCGCGCTGCCCCGACCACGAAGTGCTGAAGGTCTGCATGGCGTTCTGGAAGGGCTGGGCGCAGGATATTTACAACACGTATAAAAAGGTGGGCGGTGAGGGAGGGTGGAGACGTAGGATTCGGTCGTGATGCCGCGAAACGCCCCGGAGGGACCGTTCACGGATGAAACGCAGGAGGTGGGAGCGATAGAGAGGAGTTATGTGCAGCTAATCAAGCTGCTGGTGCGCCGCATGAGCCGTCCGGAGGAAGTGATGGTGATGGAGAACGACGACGGGGAGATCGTGCGCGTGGAGACGAAGGACACGGACTGTTCTGCGCTGTACAAAGTCATGAAGGAGACGCTGGTGCTGCTCTCGAGCGTGGATTACGAGATCACCGAGGCGATCTTTATGAGCTCGCTGGACGACGAGGTGGAGCGAGCCTGGCGGTTGATGAGGAGTAGATGCAGAAGAGCAACGACATGCCCTTCCGCAACACGCTGCAGCCGCTGGTGTGGTCGATCGGAAGCGTGAGCGGCGCGATGACCGAAGAGCAGGAGCGGCGCCTGCTGGTGGCGACGATTATGGACCTGCTGCGGCTGATCCAGATGAAGAACAACAAGGACGATAAGGTCATCATTGCCGGCTGTCTGATGTACGTCATTCAGCAGTACCCGCGGTTTTTGAGGCAGTATTACGTGCTGCTGCGGACCGTGATCCGAAAGAACTTCGACTTCATGCACGAAACGCACCCCGGCGTGCAGGACATGGCCTGCGACACGTTCCTGAAGCTGGCTCGCAACTGCGGCTCGCAGCTGATCATTCCGCACCAGACGGACAAGGGCCGGTTCCCTCCGTTCATCGAGGAAGTGCTGCCGAACGTGCCCGTGTACACCGAGCTGCTCTCCACGCAGCAAGTCGAGGTGTTCTTCAGCGCCGTGGCGACGATCGCCAAGTTCGAGCGCAATATGGACACGCGAAATCAGTGGATCAGCGCGCTGCTGCTGCCCTTCAACCAGGAAATGCAGCGCGTGATCCGCGAGGGCGTGCAGAACGCCGCGCAGTTCCACACTCCCGCGAATCTGCTGGCGATTCGGCGCGCTCTGCGCATCGACCGCGTGGTCTGCGAGGTGCTGCTGCTGGATTTCGCGACGCAGGTGAGCGAGAAAGGCCGGATTGAAGCGAAGCTCGTGACCTTCTTCCAGGACTTCTGCGATCTGTTCCAGCTGTACGGACAGGCGGCCACCAAGACCATCCGCGCGAAGGGCGCTGCTGCGGTGAACTACCAGGACACGCACCACCAGCTGCTGATTAAGCGGGAGATCGTGCGGATGCTGCAGACCTTCGTGGGAGCGTTCCGGCCGAAGGATCTGGGGAACGGCGCGCAGGTGGACATCAAGGAGATCTGCAATCAGTTCGTGCCGCTGCTGCTGAAGGACTTCCAGGACACGCCGGACTGCGCGAAGGAGCCGCTGGAGCTGCTGTTTTTGTCGACGTTGATCGAAACGCTGAAGGTAGGAGTGTGAAAAAAAAGAAAAAAATGAATTTATATAACACACAGGATCGATGCAAGGGACTCATCCCGGATATTCTCTCCGCGGTTTTCATGCCATCGCTGCAGCTCATCACCAAGGATCGCTTGCAGTACACGGACTTGACGCTGGCGTTCTATAAACTCATGGAGAACTTGGCGCGCTTCGCGTTCACGTCGCTCTTCGCGTTCCCCGAGCAGGAGCAAAAGCTTCTGATCGACAGTTTGATTTGGGGATTCAAGGATTCCGAGCGCAAAATCTACGAGACCGCGCTGGAGACAGTATTACTGGTGCTGGAGGCGGTGCGCGGGAGCGAGAACGCGTTCCGGCAATCGTTCTACCGGTCGTTTTTGCTGTATTTGATCGAGAACGTGCTGTAGGATGAAGGGAACGGCGTGCGAGGTAGCGACAGCATGACGGACGCGATGCACATCCCCGCGCTGAGCCTGCTGTCGCGCACGCTGCAGCTGCTGTTCGGGATGCTGGTGTCGGGAGAAATCGAGGTGACGCTGCTGCCGAGCTGCGCGACGAGCTTCCAGAACGTGCTGGAGGTGGAGAAGGCGGTGGCGGGGTATTTGAAGCAGCAGTTTCCGAGGTGTGCGGAGGCGATTATCGATGAGTATGTGATCATGATGGGGAAGAACACGGGGAAGTCGAACGCGGAGTATTTGGTGATTAATCGGGACTTCTTGATCCAGCTGAAGGTAGGGAAGGGGGAGAGGAAGTGAGGGGAAGGAAGTGACCAATGTCCAAGTGAATTTGTTTGCGGATGTGGAGGAAGAGGAGAAGAGACGGAAGGAAGCGGCCGAGATGGAGAGGCGGAGAGCGATTCCTGGATTGATTGGAGTGAATGATACGGCGACGGAGTATGATCAGATTGCGAATTTGTGATGATTTGTTGATGATATGGTGGCGTGTTTGTTTGGTAGACAGGAGAGTGGAAAAGAGAAGCAAGCAAGGGAGGGAGGGAGGGAGGGAGGGAGGAGAGAAGAAGATGGGTGTGGAGTGAAAGATGGAATTGTAGAGTGAAAGAACGGAATTACAATGTGAAATAAGGATAACAAATACCAAATCATGAAAGAAAAGACCTGATCAATGAATATACAGTACTAATGAATTAACAAACATTCTTCTCTCCACGAATGCTTCTGCCCTATTCACTTGCTATCTCCACTCTCTCTTTTTTTCTCTCTTTTTTAAATCTTCACACCCATCCGATTCTCTTTCCCCTTCCCTAACCTTCTCATTTCCATTCAATCACATCGATTCATTTCCACATACAGTCCCATTTCGAACAAACACTCCAATTAAAGAAATCCTCATCCGATTCCTCCGATTCCTCCAACTCCTCCGCTCGTCGCATGTCTTCCGGGTAAATCTGAATCTTCGAAGCATCCATCGACGTATCCTTGTTCGCCTGCAGCAGCTGCACAATGCTGTTCTTCAGCAGTTTGCACAAATCGCGCGTGGTTTCCGGAATGTTCACTACATTCTATGCCTATCGCTTTTTCTCTCCTACAAGAATCAAAGCAACGAGTCACTTCCAATAATCGAATCAGACACTGGCTCAAAAAGTCGTCTTCGTCATCCAATTCCTATGCGTGGTTCCCCATTTCCACTGTTACGCGCTGTTTGTTCTCTGGAATGTTTCCTCGACGGTTCCGCTTTACGATTAGGGACTGCATCTTCATCATGTGACGCTGCACAATGTGAAGATCGTTCTCCAACTTCGCGTTGGGGCTCGTGTATCCTACTGAACACAATGCACAGCAACATACGGACATGCATGTTGGGAGTCGAGTTGTCCACAATCTCGTCCGAGAGGTTGGGAGTGAAAAGATCCACCGACTCTTCATTCTGGAACTCCACTCCTCGGTTACGGAGGGTTCGGTAGAGAACACCAAAGAGTTTAAATTCCTTCCCCACAGATGCAAAGGACAGGGCAAGGCATTGAATCAAATCAGCTGCCTTCTTCCAATTCTCGGGACTCTGGGGAAAATGACAAACACAAGGAACCCACTTGCTCCTTCATCGCAATCCGAAATAGATTGTCGAGAAATTCCTTTTGGCAAACTAAGCGGTGGAACGGACCGAAACAATTCTTCTCCAACGTATCCAACAGAGTAATCGCATGAGACACGGTCTTCGGACTTCGACTCTTAAGTCGGCTGTCTAGCGCAGTTATAATTTCTTGACGATATGCATCATCTCTGAACGAAAACTCGAAAATAAAATCCATACCTCTGATTCACATTATCGCACAGGGTTATAAACATTCCCCAATCGGGTTCTTCTAAATCCGCATTTGTTGCATCGTACACAAGCTGTGCTTAAATGGAACACCCAAGAATTACCTGAGACATCACTATGATAATTTAGTTTTTTTAACTAAATGAAGGAAAAAGTAATGATCTATTTTTATAAAAATCGTACGGAGTCGACTGTTCGAGTGTATGCTATTCATTGTAATTCCTAAGATGCTCTTCTCGTGTGTGATTCGCTGAGGCTTTATTACTTTTCGAATCTGACCCAATTTAAATACGGCCATGTCCCAGTATCATGAATGCAAGATTAGATCTGAATCAGTAAATGGGCAAGAAATCCCCTGTTGAAGATTCTGGAAATTCCCTTTTTTACGCATATGTCGAGGTTTCTATGAAGAAGGAGTACATTTTCCTCTCTCTTGGTAATTTGGTAGCGCTAAGGGAGCGATTGTTCCCTATGTGTCCAGAGAGTATCCAGAGAATAGCACAAAGGCTCTTCCTGGAGATCTGCCTTACTTCATGACTCCGGATTTTAATGAAATCAAGCCTATGAGCGTCTACGAACCGTAGAATCTGCTTTGCGTAGCTTACTTTTTAGTCAGGAATATACGGTCGTGCTGACGGGAGATAGTGGAGAACGTTTGTATGGTTTTTGTCGTCGGTACCTTCCTGAAGGAATTGGCGGAAGATATGATGTGGGCGAGCGTCTTCCCCAAGTGATTTGCTATGTTTCCCTTCAGTAAGCCTTCTTTGTGCTGCTGGTCACCCCTTTAGTCCGTACTTCACAATCTTTTCTCACCTTTTGAAAGTGACCCAAACGATGACTCGCTTGGAGCCTGAAGAAGTCATCGACTTTGTGGATTCGGCTCTGAATTCTACTCTTCCTGAGCCGAACGAGACGTTCAAGATTGGAGATAACGAGTTCCTGCGTCCGAAGGACATGGACGCTCCTTTGATCGATGTGAAGCTCGCTCCTCTGGTCTCTCGCTTTGACGTAAAGAGTTTGATTCTTCTCTTGAGCGCTCTCATGTGCGAGAAGCGCATTATTTTCATCGGCGACGAGCTGTCGACTCTCTCAGAGTGCATCCACGCCGCCGTCGCGATTCTGTTCCGTTCGATTCTGCGCGGTCACTTGTAGTTGTCCTTTCTCTTGGCACCACATCTTCATCCCCATCGTTCCCGCCTCGTTGCTCTCCTACGTGACCGCGCCGATGCCGTTCCTGGTGGGAATCAAGCGCTCGCTGCAGCCCACGATGGAGAAGCTGCCGATGGAGGCGTGCGTGTACGTCGACGTGGACAAGGGCGAGATCGCCTACAGCGAGAGCGACCCGATCATCGATCTCTACCCGAAGAACACGATCTCCACGGGCTCCATGGGAGGCGTGGGCAAGAGCGTGTCGACTGTAAGCGAAGGGGGGCGGTGTGAGCGCTAGCTGGAGAAGAAGATGGGCGTGGACATGTCGAGTGTGCGAAGCACGATCTCCGTGCTCAGCCGCGCGGGCCACAAGGCGAGAGAGACGCTGCAGGGCGTGGACCCGGTGGACTTTTTGGTGCGAGCGTTGAAGTAGGAGCGAGAGCGCGGCGTGAGGATTAGCTACGCGAAGCAGATCGCTGTGGGCCGCACGGTTCTGGAAGAGGGCCGTCTGTTCTACTCGTTCTTGTCGTTCTTCGTCTCGGTGTTCGGCTGCTACCGGCAGTTCTTCACCAAGAGCGAGGAGCGTGAGACAAAGGGCGAGCTGGTGTTCGACCGCGAGGGCTATCTGCAGAACTTCTCCAAGCACGTCAAGGGGCCGCTGAACGAAGTGCTGAAGGAGTTCCCGCACTCGCAGATGTTCGAGCGCTTCATCGAGCGACGCCTGGCGGTGGAGCGCCGCGTGATTCGCCAGCAAGACCTGCAGGAAGGACTGTTCGAGAAGCTGTCGGTGATGACGGACGGAAGCTTCTCTCCCACGGTGGTGAAGGACAACGTGAACAAGATCAAGGAGGCGGAGAAGACGTCGAACTACCGAAACTTGGTGATGGAGATCACGAGCAACAACACATCGCGCATTAGCATTCCCAAAACGCTTCACAAGCTGGCGCACGAGACCTTCTCGTCTTCGACGTGCGGAGAGATTATGGACACGATCTGGTGGCGTTGCAATGATTCGGCCGCTGGAAATTGGAAGCACGGACTCAAGGCGCTGCAGGCTCTGGCGTATCTGCTGGTGAACGGATCGGAGCGTGTGGTGTCGGAGACCATCGCGAACATCCACAACGTGCTGCCCTTCGTGGCCTACGAGAACAAGAGTCTGAACGCGCAGCGCACGCAGCAAGTCCAGCTTTTTGGACAGCGGACGTATCGCCTCATTATGGAGACGCAGCGCCTGCAGCACGAGCGTCGCCTGGCGGCCGAGAAGAGATCGCAGTCGGTGCGCTCCGGGAACGTGGAAGAAGACGAGGAGGACGAGTCGGTGTCGAAGATTCTGGGAGCGTCGACGGAGCAGACGACCAGGATGAAGTCCTTGGATCTGATCAAGGCGTTCGATGAGAGCTTCGAGGCGATTCACGCCACTCTGCGACCATCCGAGGAGATTCTGAGCGCCGAGCTGAGCGCCACAAAGGGAGGCATGAAGATGGACATCTTTGCTTCGCGCATTGGTGGCTCGTCCGCCCATCTGAAGAAGGCGAAGAAGCTGGATCCGTCGGCCATGCTGGGAGAGAATGGCGAACCGCCCAAGCTGACTCTGCAGAAGTCGAGAACGGATCTGCTTGCGATGGATGGAGATGAGAACGAGCTCGACGAGGAGCCCGAGGAGAAGCCGAAGAAGAAGATTGTGAAGAAGGTCGTGAAGAAGGTGGTGAAGAAGAAGGCGCCTGAGCCTGAGCCCGAGCCTGAACCTGAGGAATCTCCTGTGAAGGATGATGACTTCATGGATGAGGAACCTGAGGAGAAGCCCAAGAAGAAGGTAGTCAAGAAGGTGGTCAAGAAGGTTGTGAAGAAGAAGGCACCTGAGCCTGAGCCTGAGCCAGAGGAAGATTTGCTGGGTGATTTCGGTGCTGCGCCTGCTCCTGCTGCTGCTCCTGCTGAAGAGGAAGATTTCTTGGGCGATTTCGGAGCTCCTGCTGCGCCTGCTCCTGCTGCAAATGACGAAGATTTCTTAGATGAGGAACCTGAGGAGAAACCCAAGAAGAAGATTGTGAAGAAGGTGGTCAAGAAGGTGGTGAAGAAGAAGGCGCCTGAGCCTGAGCCTGAACCTGAAGAAGATTTGCTGGGCGATTTTGGTGCTCCTGCCGCTGCTCCTGCTGCTCCTGCTGAAGAGGAAGATTTCTTAGATGCGGAGCCCGAGGAGAAGCCCAAGAAGAAGGTAGTCAAGAAGGTCGTTAAGAAAGTGGTGAAGAAGAAGGCACCTGAACCTGAGCCTGAGCCAGAGGAAGATTTGCTGGGTGATTTCGGAGCTGCTCCCGCTGCGCCTGCTGCCGAAGAGGAAGATTTCTTGGGCGATTTCGGAGCTCCTGCTGCGCCTGCTCCCGCCGCTGCTCCTGCTGAAGAGGAAGATTTCTTAGATGAAGAGCCCGAAGAGAAACCCAAGAAGAAGGTAGTCAAGAAGGTTGTGAAGAAGGTCGTTAAGAAGAAGGCACCTGAACCTGAGCCCGAGCCCGAAGAAGATTTGCTGGGTGATTTTGGTGCTCCTGCCGCTGCTCCTGCTGCGAATGATGATGACTTCATGGATGAGGAACCTGAGGAAAAGCCCAAGAAGAAGGTAGTCAAGAAGGTGGTCAAGAAGGTTGTGAAGAAGAAGGCACCTGAACCTGAGCCTGAGCCAGAACCTGAGGAAGATTTGCTGGGTGATTTCGGAGCTGCTCCCGCTGCGCCTGCTGCCGAAGAACATCATTTTGAGGACGATTTGCTAGATGGATTCAGTGATTTCGATCTGGATGAGGAAAAAGAAAAAGAGCCGGAAGAAGAGAAGCCGAAGAAGAAGGTTGTGAAGAAGGTGGTAAAGAAAGTAGTGAAGAAGAAGGCACCCGCAGAAGACGATTTTCTTTCGTTCTAAGTCTTTTCTTTGTTCAATCAATATCGCAAACTATTCAAAATGGATTTTATATTGCATTATTATCTGGAATAGGAGCAAACAATAAGCAATCCAAAGGTTTAGGATACGATCGCTATGTATGGGTCAAAAGTAAGCATTAAATGAGTTCTAATGAACCCCTATTCAGTATTTTCTTATAAATCTCTATGTTTGGCTTGCTCTCTTGCTCACTTTGTACATTCCGATGCTATTACCTTTCTGACACATGATATTGCACTACATTCTCTCTCTCTATATATATAAATATAATCATTTCACTGAATAATAAGCCCATCTTTAAGTCAAGGGAACAATTATCTAAAATTAACTGAAATTAAATGAATGTGTTGTATGACACACATTGACAATAGAATAACCGATTCGATTTACGAAATTATCCATTACTCTTTCTAACCAGTTTTAAGTCACAAAAGAAACATCTTTATAAGTATATAATGATAAATAGTATATGGAAATACTTTTAAAAAACGCAGTGTACACTTCCCATTATTGAGTTTAAAATATCTGTATCCACTTCATATTCAATACAGTAAAAGTCAATTCCTGAATCACACCAAAAAAAGAGAGTCAGAATAAACAAGATACGGCGTTTGTACAGAGCCGTGGTTATCTAGCTATTCTAGCAGTCAATTAATCAGAGGTTGATTGGCCTATCGATTTTGTTCATCCACTAATCTTCATGAACCAGTAAATAATGGGTCAGGAAGAATGATTATTAGGGTCGTTTCTAGAAGAAAAGAACACAGACACATTATAGGGTTAAGGGGCTAACTTTGTGTGACTCTCATTTTATGCTCAATTTCTCATCGCCTCTGAGAAGGAGAACTAAATTTGCACACGGACATTTATTTGAAACAGGCTGTCAGCATCACGATCTATGAACTCTGCTTACCAATATACGGATTCTCCTATTCTTGTCAACGCTCCCAACGTCACCTACACTGATGACACTATAACTGCCGACTACGTCTACCATACGAGTGAAGCGAAGATTGAAAATGGTCAAGTCGTCGTGACTCCTCGCGACGAGAAGTACGTTTTCAAGACCGATCGCCGCATCCCGAAGGTCGGTATGATGCTCATTGGCTGGGGTGGCAACAATGGAACCACTGTCACTGCAGGAATTCTTGCCAACAAGCACCAGATTACCTGGCACACGAAGAAGGGCGAGATGCACCCGAACTACTACGGGTCGATCTCGCAGAGCTCTACAGTGAAGATTGGTACCGTTCCCGGAGGGGATCTCTACATCCCCTTCAAGAATCTTCTCCCGCTCGTCAATCCCAACGATTTGGTGATTGGTGGATGGGACATTAGCTCTATGAACTTGGGCGACGCCATGAAGCGCGCTGGTGTGTACGACTACGACTTCCAGCAGGTCATGTACCCGTACATGAAGGACTTCAAGCCCCTGCCCTCGATCTACTATCCCGATTACATCGCTGCCAACCAGAAGGATCGCGCGGATAACGTGATTCCGGGCAACGACAAGCAAGTCCATCTGGACACGGTGCGCGCCGATATGCGCCGTTTCAAGGAGGAGAACCACCTGGACAAGGTGATTGTGCTCTGGACGGCGAACACGGAGCGCTACTCTGAAATCATCCCCGGCGTGAACGACACTGCGGAGAACTTGCTGAAGTCGATCCGCGAGAGCCACTCGGAGGTGGCTCCGTCGACGATCTTCGCGGTGGCCGCCATTCTGGAGGGCAACACGTACATCAACGGCTCTCCGCAGAACACGTTCGTCCCTGGCGTGTTCGAGCTGGCGGAGCAGCACAAGACGTTCATTGCGGGCGACGACTTCAAGAGCGGCCAGACGAAGATCAAGTCGGTGCTGGTGGACTACCTGGTGAGCGCGGGCATCAAGCCGGCGTCGATCGCCTCGTACAACCACCTGGGCAACAACGACGGGAAGAACCTGTCCTCGCCGCAGCAGTTCCGCTCGAAGGAGATCTCCAAGTCGGGCGTGGTGGACGACATGGTGGCCTCGAACGGCATTCTCTACCCCAACCACGAGCACCCCGACCATCTGATCGTGATCAAGTACATCCCCTTCGTGGGCGACAGCAAGCGCGCTCTGGACGAGTACACCTCGGAGATCTTCAACGGCGGCATCAATACCATTTCGATGCACAACACCTGCGAGGACTCGCTGCTGGCCGCGCCGCTGATGGTCGATTTGGTGGTGCTCTCGGAGATGTGCGAGCGAATCTCGCTCTCCTACGAGGGATCCCAGGGATTCGAGCGATTCAACTCCGTCCTCTCCATTCTCTCCTATCTGCTCAAGGCGCCCGAAGTGCCGCGCGGAACCCCCGTGGTGAACGCTCTCTCCAAGCAGAGAGAGTGCATCATCAACATCTTCCGCGCTTGCATCGGACTGCAGCCCGATAACCACATGATGCTCGAGTACAAGAAGCAGCAGCACTAAAGAAGAAGAAATAAGGTGGAGTACAAAGGAGTTGTGTGCTGTCTAGCGAGCTTGCGAGCTTTATGTTTAGAATGTATTGAAATGAAGGAGTGTTTGTTGGAACCAAACAAGGAAGGGCGCTTGCTTGAAGAAGCGAGTGATCGAATTTGGGTTGTTGTTTGACTTGGAAGCTTCCTGCGTGGATCCTTTGGTTCCTTTGGTTCCTTTAGATCCTTTGTGTACCGATGGTTTATCCGATCCTTGAGTATCTTCCACCTCGGGGCGACTTGTTCGCACTCGCTTTGAGGCCATTTCTTCAAGGGAAAGGTCATCTAATAGAAACTGAAGAGGTGAATGTCTTCGACAAACCTGAATCAAAGTTGAATTCTAGATGACAACATCACCATACCAACTACTTTTACTTGCTTTCCGCTGTCCATATTCATCCACTCCTCAGTCTTGCTTGCTAGAAAATCGATAAATAACGTCTAAATCAAAAACGATCATCAACACGTACTGTAGCTTTTGTCATTAAATTTAGCGCTGGTTTTGATATAATATTCACATCTGGATCCATTTTCATCACCTTTTTGACTCGACCTAAATGGATGAAAGGAAACAGAGAGTACTCGCAGGCAAAAGGATCGGCGCGGGTTCTAGCTCTTTTTCAGGAGTTGACTCAATTGGAATAAGCTGATCCCACCTTTTTTCGCCTAGCAACACAGCAAATGGTATGTAAAAATCGAAGGGCATGTCTTCATCCTCAGAACCTCCTTGAGGATCAAGAAGCTCGTTTTCCTCCTGATGATCCTCTTCCACTGCATCATTAGGATCGGTTTGACTCATCCTTTACTGAATTCCGTCTCTAGATTGAAAAATAAAAAGTCCTGGGATCCCCCAAATTTGAATGAGTGCTTGTTGTTTAAAAGTTGAGAGAAAAAACATATACACAAGCCACCGAACAATGGAATGCATAAAACGAAATCTATTGTAAATGACAAAACATAAGCATTTCATTCTCTCTCCTAAGCACGCAATGGCTCCACTTTCTAAACGATGGCCCCATATCGTTTAAGCAAACAAACACCTCACTCCTTTAAAAACACAAATTTCCCCTCCGCATCCTTTCTACACACCATGCAGCTCCACTTCTCCTCATTCTGGATTCGCTCCCACTCATCGACACCCATATGGAGCATAATGCAGTTGCTGCAAATCGAGTGCGAGCAGAAATCGCAGAGCACGACGCTTCCTCCGTCTCCGCAACAACTGCATTCCACATCGTGATCTTCTTCCTGCTTCCAAGGATTCTTCTTGTACTCGGCCAGACACGCTTTGCAGAGATACACAAACCGAAGACGCGGGTGATCGACCAGATCCTTCCATCGAGTTTGCTTGAACAAAGCCCACCTTTTTGTCTCCGCAATGCGTGCAAAACTTTCGCAATTCCGATTGCGTCGTGTAGTCGTTTGCCGGCGAATACAGCGTCTGCGAGGCGAACTGCTCCTTCAGCTTGCCGAATCCGAAGTGCTCGCAGAGCTGGATCAAAAGCTCCATCATTTTGTGAGGCGACTCGGGCACGTCGATGCCTGCGAACTCTTTATGCGCCTCGTCCATCGCCAATTCCTCCAGCACGCTCTGGATGGTCAGCAAAACACGCTCGTACTTGCAGAATCTCCACCGATTCTGTGATTGAGGAGGTGTGGAGCAACGCATCTTGCTGGTCTTCAGCGAAAGCGCGATACCGATCGATTCTACATAGACAAGAGAATCAACAAATACTTCTGAAGCTCCCTAAAGAAGGCGACCATCCCGTTGTTAACCGTTTCCAGACAGAACGGAAGTAGAGCCCCATTGTACTCCACTTCAATCTTTTCCTTCTCCTTTTTCGCTTTCGCTTTCTTTTGCTTCTTCGAGGCTACAGAGCTTGCAGAACTCGACATTCGTTTGTGACTTTGCTTAGAATGACCGAGAACGGTCCCATATTTCGCTTTTAGCTTGTCAAAATCTTCCTGAATCTGTTTCTGATTCTCGTTAACAAAGCATTGCGCTCTAAATTGAAGATTCGCAAAACCATTCACTTGTGACTTTTCCAGTCCAGCAATTGGCATTCCTTACTACAGTACGTTCGCTTCATACATCGGTCACAACTAATTCTTGAGAGTGTTGAAAAACACGAACCAGAAGACCGCCTTCTTCGCACATCTCGGGTTCTGACACACCTCACTAAGTCCTTGCATTGCGTGAGAAGACAAAAAAGTGAAGATGAATCTTTTAAAAGAGATCAATCGATCGATCAAACAAACACCACATATCGCATCGTATCAAGAACAATGTACACGGCTTTCCATTTTATCCACGAGCAGCTGCTTCAGCCACACACTCAGGCTCTGCGCCGTTCCCTCGATCATGCGCTCGCTCACAAGCCCCATTCGCGAGAGATTGCTCACAAACGACTCAATCCGCTCCTCTCCGTAGGAGAACTGCACACTGAGCTTAATGGGCGGCTTGTCTGGACCATCTACTTTCTCACATGCTCCCTTCACTCCGACTATATTTCCGCACCACACTGAGCCGGATTTGATTCCGCAGACACGCCAGCGGGATGATGATCAGCTCGTCTTCGTCCTTGGATTGCTCCCCGCGGTTTTCCTCCTCGCTCTCCGCCGTCGCATCCTCGCGATGCTCCTTCATAAACATGCACAGCTACCTCTCAGACCCCCCGAGCGACTACCCGCGGGAATTGCACGGGGATCCAGTTCTCCACGGGATGAAACTCCGCGGCGGATTCGCGCTGCGACAGCGAAACCTCGTCGCTTTCCTGCAGCAAAAACGAATCCACGAGCAGATCGGCGGCGGTGGGACGCGTCTCGGGAGGCCCGAGCAGCTGCTCGATGAGCTGCTTGAAATCGGGATCGGAGATCTCGGCGAGGGCGGCAGGAGGCTCGTCCTAAGGATGATTTGTGCGTGTGAACGGGACGGAAAGGATCTTGGCGAGGAGCTCGTTGGTGGATTGGCATTCCGAGTAGGGTGTTTTCTTTGTGAGGATTTCGAGGAGACACATGCCGAAGGCGTACATGTCTGTTTTCTCGTTGTACACGTTGGAGTCGATGATTTCGGGCGCCATGTAAGGAATGGTGCCTGCGATGGGACTGTCTTTGGTGCTATGGGAGGCAAGACCCAAGTCTCCGATACGAATTAGAGATACAACGCCATCAATAAAAAGGTTTGCACATTTCAAATCTTTGTGAATTATTGGCGGATTCCTAGAATGGAGGTAGTTTAGTCCATTTAAGATTTGAACAGCCCATTTTTTGATGGCTTTGAGAGAAACATTCTTATTTTTTATATATCTTCAATTCACTACGAAAAGACAACCTTACTGCAAAATGGTCCCCGAGGGCATATATTGTGTGATAATGACAACCTTTTTCTTTTCCTTGTCCATCCACGAATCGATATAGTGTATAATATACTCGGAATCAACAGCACGAAGAATTTCAACTTCATTCTTATATTGCTGCATCACTTCGGCCGTTGCTCCTTCTGTGGAAACATCGCTCCAAGCGACATCCCGCCCTTCCGATGCATCAAAACCTAGGAATCTAGAGCGTTAGTTTGATTTGGAAATGAACGATACACTCGCTTATAAGACCCTACACCTATTGGCGAATTGAACTACAAAGTATCTTCCTATTTTTGGAATACCTTCATATATCGTCCATCTGGTGATTGCTCCAATATCCTTTGAGAACAACTCATCCGCCAATATAAACAAAAACGTTAGGTAAACAAACAAATGTACACAAAGTAGTATTCCTCAAGAAGAAAGCCAATCCAAAGTTGCTGGCGGAGGAGTTTTGCAAAAGACGCTTCTCGCCTATATATATACTTATAAGAAAACTAGTGATGTACGAGGTAGTGGGTGGTTTAAAGGAATACCCAGAAGGACAAAGTGTCTGTGAGCTTCTTTTCTGAATCCCATCATGAATAGGCGAAATGAAGAGCTGCGGGTTTGAGATACGTGCTCCAACCATATAGAGTGAAGAGTTCTTGTCATTTTTACACAGCACACGAAGAGAATAGCTACATGGCAGCACATCCCATCGGCCAGTTTCCCTGTCCATCAATACACACATTTCCTGGAAGTGGAGAGCCAGAGAGGAAATGTCCAAATCGGGTTTCCAAGACCAGATATGATCCTTCACTTCTTCACCTCCCAGATAATCTGCAGCAAGCGAATTAATGCCCAGTGTGTATAATTCTTGGGTATTCTCGGAGTAAATATTCACCGGCGACGGAGCAGGCAGAAAATCCTTACTCAGGGGTCCATATCGGAGCTGATTCGTCACAACGCGGCTGTAAAATGCTGAAGAATTTCCCGATTTTCCAGCCAAGAATTCGACGTTGCTCTTTATCGTTCCTGAAGGGAAACAAAAGTCGCCAATATCTCGCTCTGTCCAAATATATGTAAAGGAAATGAAGATTGAATATGAGGAAATTGGATATTAACAAGTGTTTTCTTGTCCTGTGAAGTGGAATAACTGGTAACTATTCTCGATAGGTCTACGAGACACAACAATGATTCGTTTATTCGAACGAACTAACTCTAGAAGAGGTCTCGTATCATTGTTCAAAACAATTCGGTCCCCTAAGATCGACCAAAAGGCCATCGAAAGCGCTTCTTCCTGTTTCCAGCGTTTCAAATTTGCACTGACATCTAGATACAGAACAATCAATTCATCGCGATTGGATGGATTCTCCAGCCAGTTTCGAATTTCCTCCAGAATCGTCTCAATTCGAAGTTGATCCTCTACATTCTTTATTTTCCCCAAAATCTACCAGAAGGAACTCCGTTGAAGGAAGGAAAACACCCGATAGTATCCGTATCATACTTAAAATCCATCCACCCCAAAATATATTCCAGTCCGTAAAACAAATAGTTTATTACTCCCACCGAAAAGCCACAATGAGAAACACGCAAATGACTGTGAAAATAGTGGATGTCTAACTCGATATGTCGAACGCCAAGATTAAGCTGATCTGTGATGGAATAATATTGCGAGATGGTGTGAACCTTATTGAATTGCAGGTAGAAAGCAGATAGAACCATTGAGAGATATTGGTCCTCGACCCCATATCCATAGGCAGCAGATATTGCACTGTTATGTGTACCTATTGACTGATGCGTACAAAACGAGCTAAAGAGAGATAGAGTTGATTGAGTTCGAGTAACAAAGCGATTCCAAGAAGACACCACAATAGTCCCGGGCTTGCAAATCTCTGCGCAATATTGTGTGCGTGAACAGACAACATCATGAGTACAATTTGCCGGGGAGTGGATGTAGGAATGAACAATTCTAAAAAAAAAGAAGAATATATCACGAACAAGGAACGCATAGCAAGCTTATAGAACTGCTCATTAACTGCAAGACCTGAAAGAAACATTAGTTGTTGAAATACGTTCCCTCTTCGAATCACTTCCATTTGTTTCCATCCCAAAACAGGAGATAATAGTATGAAGTAAAATAATATATTCATTTTCTGAAAACACAGCTTTTCAAAGCTAAACGAAGAAAGCGGTCATTTTATTGTGTAAAAACTACCCAGCGTTATCAAAAAGAGTTTCACAAAAGAATACCGACCCGTGTATCAAGAAACAACATATCTTTCCAAACATGCTCAAGGATAGGTTTCAAACTGCATTTCCATAAATTTTATATACGAAGGATATCCCTACTCATAATGAAATCAATGAACAGTATAAAACTAGTAAAATTGTTAAGCATTGTATAAAAAGTGTTATTGCTTTATTACAATAGTAGTATGACTTTGTTGTGAAAAGCAAATAACTAGTGACCAACTTTTTAAAGCTTTTTTCATGAGGTGGTATTATGAGACCCTCACATCGGGAAGGATTTGTTGGGATCGTCGATCTCCCTTTCTCCGAATATCTCCCGTGAGTCCTCGCGAAAATTATGCCGCTTCCGTCATCGTTTGTCACCCGGAACCCGATTTTACACTTACAATCGTTATAGTCATACTACGATAACCATCTGTTCCATAAGTCATTCATGTCTTTGGTAAAGTGGCAGGCCTTGCACAACTCTATGCTCATCTAAAGTTATTTTCTAACGGTGAATTTGAATGGATCAATTACACCAAATACAAATATCCCTATATCACATCCATACTGTCCTGTTCACACCCAATCAAGTCATGTTCAACAATGTGGATTCTACGAATGTGGTCACGAACTCGAATGACGAAGAGATAACGATTCCTCCTGGATACTACACGATCGGTCAAATCATTGCTATCCTCAACACCATGACTGATACTGCATTCTCGATATCTACGAAGACTTCGAGTTATGGGTGTATTTATATCCAGTACTCACACACCATCGATTTCAACAATGTTCCGAATATTTGAGAAATCCTCGGTTTGGAAGGACAAATGGTCATTCTACCCGCTTCGTTCTATGGATCGAACGTGATTGATATCACGTGAAATCGACAAGTGATCCAGATCTACTCGTCTCTCGTGTATTCCTCCGATCTGAAGATTGCCAACCAAAACAACAACCTGCTCACCACAATGAATATTGACGATCCCGAGGTTAATTACCTGCGCCCGTGGAAAACATCTGCATTCCGATGATAACCCGATTCGACCGATTGATGTTCCTGTTCCACGATATGGATGGTAATATCATGCGATTGAACGGCGAATTCGAACTCCAGTTGACGATAGAAGATGTGTTTGATCAAGTGCCTTCCTCAATTCTACCGATAAACTAGTTGAGTATGATGGAAGTGTTCAGTAATACTACGAAGAAGGAAGTGAAGCTGGACAATCCTCTGTCATTCGATCAGTGCTACATCTGCCTGTGTCGTTGTATACCGATTTCGTGTTGCACAACGTGCCGACTGACCAAGTGGTGCTAATCAATGCCGGGAACACACCACAAAAAGTGCTAATACCTCGCGGCGCCTACGACATCGAAACGATCATTGCAATGTTGAATGTGAGTGATGCTCTATTTGAAGTAGTGTATAGTGGAGAAAATGTATTTCGAGTCTATAACCAGTTTGTGATTTTTCCTCTGACACAACTTATTCATTTCTTGAATATAGCGATTCATTTATCGAGGTGTGTGGGGAACATAAATGAGATCAAGGAACTACGGAAACCAGCAAAGCGAAGAGGTGCAACTCGAGTGATCATTAGTGGATTCAAACGAAACATATACTTCATCGATCTCATCGATTTCTCTTCCAAACAACACAAACCGATACAGGAAGTATTAGGAAGACAAAAGAGTACTAGATTCTCCAAGAATCATGGATACAAATATTTCCTTGTATGTATTGATGGATATTCGAAATACCTGATGACTCGGAAACTGAAGAGCAAGAGTGCTACAGAAATCACGCATGCGATGAAGGATATCATTCAGACATATGGTGAATCACCAAAGCATAGTTGCTCGAATCGAGGTACCGAGTTCACCAATGCCATCTTTCGTACCAACATCTTGGACAAGTATGACATCACCATGTATCACATGGATTCAGCGAATAAGGCAGTACTAGATGAACGAGCAATTCGAGATATCAAGGAACACATCATGGTTCCTTCATTCCTTCCATTCAATCAATCAATGGAAAGGTGTATGGTTTGATTTGATCGATGGTGCAGTTCGTCGACATAATGGAAGGAAGAACAGAGACATCGGATATACACAATGACATTTGGCTTAACAACAACAACGATATCTTGTACATGGAGAAAACAGAACCATCCAACATGACAGCAAAGGACACAACACCTCAATTCGATGTTGGTGATTATGTTGGAGTGACACGAAGACCTCGCATTCTGGAAAAACGATCATTGACGATCAAATGGTCTCAGGACTTGGTTGAAGTGGTTGATATTGACGATCACATCATGCCACTGATGTACGAAGTGAAGAATGTGGAAAGCGATAGCACACAGAAGTGTTATGATTGGGAACTGTTGGCAAGCAAATGCAAACCACAGCCAGCACCGCCTGTCACTCGATCCAAGAGTCGAAAGGAACCCAATGCATTGAGAGAGGCAGCAAGATCACATCGACCCATTACGAGCACCCAGAAGAAGAAGCAACAACAACAACCTCGCTCAAGTGTTCGAAAACGATCGTGATGCTCTTCACATCACTCAGACATACAAGAGAAGGGATATTCGTGAATGCAGATATCGTATGACTCTCACTTGTCCATTCGATTCCATTTATCAGTTTGGTATGGGAAAGGGTCACAAGATTGTTGAGTGTATCGATGAATAGCATATCGAGCAATCACACACCATCCATTGAAACACTCACCTTGTATCCCTTATCCACAACCGATTCAATAGAATCACAATGTTTGAATAGGGCATCATTCTCATTGTAACATGGAATCGATGTGATTATGAGATATAAACCCGAAGATAATTCGAATTAGTATTGATTATTGAATGGTTGAGTGGATGTGTGTGTATGTTCAAACAATGTGGCATTATTGACTTTCACAAAACACCCAGAAGGTATTGTTTATAAATATTGATGAACGCCATCCACTGTATCACGAATGAGGACAAGTTTGCCATCGTTCTCGGGCATATTGATGAGCATGTTATCGAGCTTCTTGAACGTGTAATTGTTTCCATTGCTTCTGAATATGTACGGCATTGATTGATTCAATTAACTTTGGTTGATTTCGTTCATAGGGTTTGACATACACACCTTTCAAACAGGCTCCATTCACATTCGAATATGTGAACATGCTGAGTAAGAAACGATCTAAATTCATCACTACCGTGGAGAAGAACCTATACAAGCTGTTGGCAAATTCGACCTATGGCAAATTCGTGGAGACTGGGTTGAAGCGAATGAAGGTGAAGTTCGCTAGCACGTGGAATGAACGTGAAGCCATCATCCAGAAGCATGGATACGATATGATCGCCGGGACTACCATGTATTCCGAGAATCTGATTGGCATCAAGCTGAACACACCGGTGCGCAGGGTGGAGAAGCCATTCTTCATCGGGTTTGCCATTCTCGATATGTCCAAGCATGTCATCTACGATTTCTACTACAATGTGCTCAAGAACACATTCGACACCGTGGAACTGTTGGGACAGGACACGGACTCGCTCATCGTGCAACTGCACGATCGTGGTAACATCGTACACAAGATATGTGAGATGTACAAATCATTCGACTTCTTGGAGTTGGATAACACGAGCTACTTCTATGGAGAACTCGTGAACTATTACAAGCATGAAGTGGACAAGAGCAAGTTCCCTTCATTGGAATCGACTCTCAATTTCAACAAGAAGTTGCCTGGCTTGGTCTTTAAGGATGAGCACAGCGGACATCGTATCACGGAGTTCGTGGGACTGAGACCGAAGATGTACTGTCTTGTTGATGAGAAGCATGTGATACACAATGCAGCGAAGGGAGTTCCTCGCAATGTCGTGATCGATGGTGAGAGGATGAGTGTGAAGAACATCGATTTGTACAAGCGTGTTCTTGAGGCAGAGAAGAAGGAAGATGCAGTGATCGAAGGCAGCTTCAAGCGCATCAACAACCAAGGATTCGATATCACCACGAAGGAGCAGATCAAGACCTTCATAACATGCACAGACAACAAACGATATATCATGGACGACAACATACATACACTGGCGTTCGGGCATTACCGATTGAAGGACATGTAATTGCGGAACGAAGTTCCGCTGGAAGTAAACGAAGATTCCTCCAATGTAAAGGAAATGTTGTTTTTACTTCAGACAGTCAGAGTCAGCCATGGTCAGTCTGGGTAAGCTGGGCTCAAACGTAGCTGACGCAAAAAGCGCGTTATGTTAGCCATAGTCAATATCGGTCAAAATAGCATCCAGGAAGAAAATGGTAGAAAAATATAACGCACGTTCTGCGTCGTCGATTTTCAGCTAAGGTTGATTATCCGACCCTTATTTAAAGATGAATCTTCGATTCTTTTGGGGCAACGTAGTGGCCACTATTTCTTATGAAAGCAAAAAAATTCGGGTTGTCAAAGTCACCCCTCATTCCCCGACTTTAGGGCTTTTTGTCATGGATTCGAAGTGAAAATGGCCTGAAAATAGCCGGAAATGGATTCGCGTTTTGCGTCATTTTCCTACTACTTATACATTCAAAGTACATTGATAAAATTGTTTATAAAGTTGTTCAATTATGACTATGTTTATTATTACCGTTTTATTTTATGATTTCTGCAGTATCAATGTAAAAAAGGTTGGTATCATCAGATTTAACTATTTTCTTCATTACGCCAGTATTTCTCCATTTTTGCATGAATATTGTGTTGAAGCAATATATTTTATTATAAAATAAGGGCTTAGGAGCTTACATATCCATATATCAACATTCACTTTATCATTGTAAATTGAATGTATGAAAAGATGATTTATTTGAATTGGATGTTCGATTATATATCGAAAGTATGTACATATATGTATATATCAAACAAAAATAATAATGTGGTTTTAGATATGGATGTTGGCCATTTTGATCTGGAAAAATGATAGTTAACGAATAGAATATCATCTATGATAATAAAACTGATTGTAATAGATTGAAATAGAAATGAATAGTTGGTGAATGAACGAAAATGGCTTTGTTCTAATTTCTAAGCAAATTAAAGTGAATTACGAAACGATATTGTATCTCTAAAGGTAATAATAAAGGGTTAATACAACGATGTTATTGAAATGAAGTTGTTGGTCTATTTTGATTTTGCTATATATGGAAAATATTACTATTGATTGTATATTTACATCAGTTTAATGGAGAGCTTTGATTTTAAATCATTTTCCTGAAGCTTGGTTGCTAGGCTCCCTGAATATCTACAAATTCGTTCCTATTGGTATAATCATGTCTAATCTAGATTATAGGTAAATAACTCAATATTATTATTTGACACACAACAATATTCTTCTGGCAGTTTCATTTTGAATCTATAGCCATATTTTTTCAATTCTTGGTAGTTTATCTTAATATTCAATGAATCGGCAGTGTACTAGCATAGAGATCCTGTGCTAGTACACTGCCGATTTATTTGAAAGTATCTAAGACATTTTGGTTATTATCAAGTTTGATGTAAGTATTCTATACTTTTTTGTACCTAGGGTTGTTTTGCTTTATTTTTCTGTAATCGTCTTGGTCATTACCGCATCTTCTCCTGAATGTATATTTACTATGTCGTTTAGTCCATTTCTTGGTTTGCTGCATAGCTGATCTAGGGAGTAATGAGAAATAACGACTATCCATTTTGCCTATATTGGTAATTGCTATTCTTTGACTTCTATTATTTGTGTTTGCCCTATATTTTTCTTTTTTAACATGGATGGCGAACTTCTTGGTTTTTACTTTTTTGCTATTGACGGTTGGCTTATTTCTGAATCTACCTTATTAGTACCCAACAAGTTATTATCATTCCTTGTATTCTAGCTTTTCAATGAATACTATTACCCTCCTTTATGACTACGAATGAAGTATATTTATAACGAAGCATGATTTGATAATTATTATTATAGTCTTCATAATCTGCTATAGCTTCCGAGTACAATTATAGTGTTTGCATGAGTATTGTGTTGAAGCAATATATTTTATTATAAAATAAGGGCTTAGGAGCTTACATATCCATATATCAACATTCACTTTATCATTGTAAATTGAATGTATGAAAAGATGATTTATTTGAATTGGATGTTCGATTATATATCGAAAGTATGTACATATATGTATATATCAAACAAAAATAATAATGTGGTTTTAGATATGGATGTTGGCCATTTTGATCTGGAAAAATGATAGTTAACGAATAGAATATCATCTATGATAATAAAACTGATTGTAATAGATTGAAATAGAAAGAAATAGAAATGAATAGTTGGTGAATGAACGAAAATGGCTTTGTTCTAATTTCTAAGCAAATTAAAGTGAATTACGAAACGATATTGTATCTCTAAAGGTAATAATAAAGGGTTAATACAACGATGTTATTGAAATGAAGTTGTTGGTCTATTTTGATTTTGCTATATATGGAAAATATTACTATTGATTGTATATTTACATCAGTTTAATGGAGAGCTTTGATTTTAAATCATTTTCCTGAAGCTTGGTTGCTAGGCTCCCTGAATATCTACAAATTCGTTCCTAAATATTGACCTGGTGTGTCAAATATGTGATGTTGAATCATAAGATTTGCATTTTAAGATAACCGCGATAAACGCGAAAATGCAAATCTGAAACCATAAAATTTTTATTTCTAAGCTTTCAAAAAAAAAAATGAACGGTAACAACGACAACAAGGAAATGGTGAAGAAGATGAGTCTGGAGACTCCGACGACAAGTCAGACGAGTCCGGATAATCCTAGCACGCCGAGCACTCAGAAAAAAATGAACGGTAACAACGACAACAAGGAAATGGTGGAGAAGATGAGTCTGGAGACTCCGACGACAAGTCAGACGAGTCCGGACTATCCTAGCACGCCGAGCACTCCGGAGCGAAGAGATGCCAAGGACAAGTCAGACTTGGACTTGGACATTTCGGATATCAATTTGGAGGAGGATACATTCCTTCTCAACATGTCAGACTCGGACTTGCTACTAACTCCGAAGAATAGAACTGACTCGGACTTGGACTTGCTCCTGTCTGGGAATAAAGACTCGGACTTGGACTCGCCAGTCTTGGCAATTTTACCAAGAGGTCCAAACGGCCATTTGGCTGCACCGGCCTCTCCGCGTAAAGTCACTGAGTTACCGGAGCATCAGCCCGTACCAGAGCCAAGTGACGTAGACTTCGAGGATCCTATTCTACAACAGGAAGACGAGAACTGGGAGCAAGCACGGGAAGCGGACTACTCGCAACCAATGGGTGAGAACAAGCACAGATGGTGGAAGGTCACCTGGTTCCCGGACTTCATTGAAACAGATATGACAAGGAACAAGATAATGCAGTTCGTGGATCACATGAAGTACATAATGCAGAAGCTCCTGCTATTAACCAATATTATATGCTGTATAATTGGCATAGAAATATGCCCAAAAACAGGCAAGCTACATACACATATATTACTGGGATTTAAGGACTCGGTGCGCTACAAAACTATAAAAAATATTCTGCAGTACGCACAGATTCGACATCTCCTAACTGATCAAGCAATACTCTTCTGGTATGACTACGTAGTCAAAGCATTCTCAAAAATTGATCATCCGAGTCGAGTGATGATGTGGGGCGCAGACGAAATAGCGAAGAGAAGAGCAAAGGTACAAAGATCGCAAAAAAGATCGCACCGCGAAATGTTCTTCGACAATCAAAGAGCGATTGAAGAAGGAAGATTCGACGATATTGATCCATTATTTCGATTTGACCATATGAGCAAGATAAACCAATGGTATGTCAACCACCATCAACCTGCAGCGCCACTGGATTACGACAGACTTGTATTTATCTGGGGAAGACCCGGAGTAGGTAAAACAAGTTTATTTTCAAGAAATATGGATCCCAGCGTAATCTACTGGAAGAATCCGGAAGTGAAATGGTGGCTGGGATACAAGGATCAACCAATCGTCATTATTGACGAAATTGTACCGGAGACATTCAGGGCACGCCATATCAATTGGAATTTATTAGGAGATCGAACGGAAATATTCGTGGAGATCAAGGGAGGACAAGTACTATTAAAAGCGAAATGGATCATCGTGATCTCCAACTACTCTCTAGACGAGCTCTGCAGCTATCCAAGGAGAGGACTGAACGAAACAATGAAGCATACGTTCAAACGAAGATGCGGCAATGATGAAGAGGGCTACAGAATGTACAAGTTCCCGAGCGAACCTAGAGCTAATAACGGCGACCGTTGGGAGGTCAGCAGAAGAGTGAAAGAAATCTGGAAAGGCTGGTATTCCTATATTAGACCGTATTTCAGAGATCTACTGCCGGAAGACGAACTACAGGATCAAATTGACACGGAATAAGTAGTTATGTTTGTTAACAAAAAGAAAAGAACAATGCATTATAAACATTCGCGGCAGCTTTCCATCCACCTCCTAGAGTGTTACCAACAGCATTTACCAAAGTGTTAACCTTTTTCGAAGATAAGAAAGCAGATACGCGTTTCCACACCGATCCAAAGTCATTAACAGACGCAGGATAGATGGAAGTCATTCCGGAGTTAATCTGAGACGCGAGTATAATGGCACTCATATCAAGATAAGATTTATGAGTTTCCAGAACGGAATAACCACTCTGGTAAGTGTAATGGCATTGATAACCAGCATACACGCGGAAGAGCAAAGATTGCGCAGCGTTCATGGAATCAACGGCCAAGCAAACCCAATTAAGATTGCAAGACCAATTGATAGCCAAGTTACTGGGATTCGCATTAAAGCGATCTAGGAAGGAGTACACATCATTTTGAGTTATCTTAACCTGTCCATAACCACTAATATCCTCCAAAGAGACTCCATCATAGGTAACATACTCCGAACGCGTACCGGTATACTTTTGTACCAAATAGCATCCTACGGGTAGAGCATAGGTAACAGTACTTTGCGAAGCATTCGAAATGTTATCAGGGCCAACAGGTAAAGCAGAAGTTTTCCACAGACGCGTAATAGAACTATCAGTACCTGAGGAATCATTGGCCACATCTTCAGAGGGGATTACAACAGACGCCGCAACGAGAGAGCCTTCATTATTGTACTGATTTCCTGTGTAATGACCGGTACAACCTTTGTACATACAGCGCAATTCCGAGATTCCAACTTCACCAGCCGATATAAAAGCCATGATGTTAGCATCCGGAACCAGAACAGCACGCATCTTCCTAATAGCAGTCGTACTGGACATAAAATAGAACCAGGAAACAACCATAACGGGATACTCAGGAAAGGGTGTCAAATAAACAGAAAAATCGAGATTGTCAGGTACATCACCAGCATAATCAGGCGACACGAAAAAATCCCTATCAATTGTAAAATTAAAGTTAGCCTGCAGACAGATAGAAGGTGTATTATCCTCATCAGGAATACATTCACAACTACCATGTGCAGGATCAATATAAGAAGCCAGCCAGCGAGCACCATCATAGGAACCACACTGCTGAACAATACCACTATTTAGCCAATTAGAAAGCGACATTAAAAAAAATTATGACATTCAGCGAAACACAATTACTGACTCGAGTCCGACAAGTCCGACAAGTCTACCTAGGAAATTCATAAAATTTTAATGTTTGAAAGATATAAATTTCAATGGTTATCAGACGACGACGAAAACGATATGGACGGTCCTACTCCAACAAACAGCGATACCGAAGAGGAAGAAAATACTCAAGAAGAAGATTTTCTAAAAAGTATAGAACTCGGATGTATCTTGGAGCAGGTAAAAAATATTCCAAAAGATCCAAATACGCGGGAGGAATATCGAAAGTACTTAGACGACGTCGAGGATCTCGTAAGATTTTTAAAACGGGTGATTTGGCGAAATACAAAGGTGTCCAAACTTGGGTTAAGGAGAGGGAAAACAGTCTGCACACGGGAGAAACACCAAACAACCAAGACTCAAGCATCTTCTACAACACAACACTAACTGCATGCAAAATAATGATGAGATTGTTATGGAAGGAGGCCAAATTTGTATACCTATTCAGAAACAGAGTTCGTCTACTACCAAAGATATACGAATTAGCATCAAATAACAGAGGTCAATTATACAACGGCACAGGAATGACGGTGGAAAACGCACAAAACGAAACGGAAAGAACCTCAATAACATTAAACGAAAAGACAATACCTAATGAAAGATGGAAGGAATTAAAAATGATGGTAAGAATGATGCGAAAAATCAACCCACAAAATAACGAGTGGATGGAAGTAGTCAAGGATCAAAAAAGTGCACTACAACTAGCAGTATTATTTACCACAGCAAATCTTGGTATACAAAGAATGGACAACTTCCTACGTGCAGTATTTAGCGGAAATTATATGCAGGTAGCAGGCAATGTACTACTCGCATTAGTCAGCATAACGAAGCAAGTCGCCGACGAGTACAACATCATCCCTATAATAAGTATAAATTACGTAAATGCATAAGTACTTAGCAATGTTTAAGCAAACACTCAAAGAAATTTACAATGATCTTGGAGATGATGGTTTTGACGGAAACATAGATGAATACGTGCTACGAGAGTTAATGAAAAGAAATAAACCTCGACCAGGGATAATTACAGCAGCAGAGGCACCTGCACCACCAGAGGCACCTGCACCAATGGACCCAATGGACATGGAACCACCAGAAGATAAAAAATATGAGGAATACATGAAATGGGAAGAAGTAGAAAAAATAACACGTAAACCAGGAAGACCAAAGACAAGATTAGCCATTCCGGTACCACGAGGTACGTCGGAAGTAACAAAGAAGAAACTAATAGATTACAAGGAACGACTATCAACAACCGTGAAACAAATGAGAGCACTAAGAGAACAAGTAATACAACTTGAACAAGAAAAAGTGCGAACCGCGCAACAAGCAATGGATGTAAAAACAGCGTTACACCAACTAAACCATCAGTTTGAAGCAGAAAGACGAAATTGGGACAATACACTACAGCAATATGAATCAAAACTAGCGGACGTGCTGAACAGAGAGAGTTATTATAAAACTGAATTACGGATAAATGAAAAACAATACAGAGAAGATAAACAATTCTGGACACAAGCAGAAACGAATTACAGAAATGAAATCGGACACCTACAAGCTGCAGTAGCAAATCAAAGAGATAAATTCCTAACCGCATATCAAGAGCAATGGGCAACCATATCAGGACTCCAATGGCGATTAAACCAACAAGACAGCTACATAGAACAACTAGACAATCACTACAGAAGATTAATACAGGATGAGAGACAACAAACAGAACAACAGTTACAAATGGAACAACAACAGTCAAGATCACATATATTAACACAAGAGCAACAAATAAATAATCTAAATAATCTAATTCAACAACAAGTAAATCAATTAAACGAACAAGACAGAATATTAAATGAGCAGCAAGCAGAACTAACTGCAACAAGAAACGAAGTACGCTACCTACATGAAGAAATGACACAAGCTACAAGTGCCTTAGAAGAAATGGGACAAAGCAGTACGACACAAGAAGGAGGCACCTTTATGAGAGGAAACTGGCTGGATATAGCAGGATACCGAAATCCCATAGGAAATATGCAACAAATACTTTGGGATAATGCAACATTAACTGAACATGGAAAACATTACGCAGATCAATTACTGGAAAATTCATATTGGGTTAACTGGGTAAAAAGCAATAAACTAGACCAATTAGCCCTACAGCATGGATTAATAAAAAGAGGTGGAGGAGGATTCATAAGTTACAAAAGACACGACGACAGACCAGATATAATAAGCGGAAGAACGGCTTACAACACAATAATGCAATTCCGAGACTTAACACTAATTACTATAAATGCAACAGAAAAAGTAAAAAATGGACAAGCACTTGAAAATTACGAAATAAAAGCGCTACAAAAAGCAGGTAATATATGGGCAGCTGAACGACAATACTATGACGACGATCCAAAACTACTAAGAGATCTCAAGACAGCATATGACAACTACTTAATGACTATAAAAGCTTTAGAAGATGAAAGACGAGCCTTAATGTAATTTGTTTGTAAAAAACACAAGTCCAAGTCTAAGAATAAATCCTACAAGTACAAGTCCGAGTCTAAGTCAAGTCTAGTGGTAGACTTGATTCTAAAAGAGTATATATTATGATTCATTTATATACTATTATCAAGTCTGGTGCTTCGCACCGTCACACGTAGTGTGACTCGACTTGATAATAGTATAAATGAATCATAACAAATAAAAATAAACAAACAAACAATTCATTAACCTGCAGGAGATCTTGAGCGGGCCGTTGACCGCCTGTTACGTCCGTACCTTCCACCCTTTTACTTCTTCCCAGTAGCCCACCTCCGGGATCTGCTTGCTATCCCTTTATGCCACATACTATATAGAGTGAGCCATTGGTAGAAAGTGCTTTGCAAGAATCTTGCTAGTTACTCACAAACGACCAACTCACCTTCCTCACCAAAAGATATTCCACTACCAATACACGGTTCCTGGATATTATCACAATCCTTCCTTCATTCCGTCCTGTGTTTAGAATCGAATCATCCTTCCTTTCTTCCTTCCCAAGGTTCTCCCAACCATGATTCTCCCCAGACGAGATACACAAAGTAAGAACCAATTCCATGTCCTCTCTTGTAGTAGTCGTAGACGCTTTCGGTTCGACGGGTCCAAGACAGTCCTCCTACTGTCAGTCCATCTTCATCTTGTCCTTGTTCCAGTCTTGTCCTTGTTCCAATCTTGTCCTTGTCCGAAGTCTTGTCCGCAGATAAATCCTTGTCCTTGTCTGAGCACTTGGCCGCCATCTTGAAAAACTCGTCGATTCCAGACTGTCTATTCTTCTTCCTACCCGGTACCTGTGGCAAAGAGGTCACCTTAACCGGCGCCGAAAAGCTAGTTGGTGGGTGTGATAGCGACACAACTAACCAACTTTTCCCTCTCAGGTACGCCCCCAGGCGTCGAAACTCTCCCGCTCTCTACTTGATCTCCCCTTGCAGGTCCAACACTAAGATCCGACTTTGTCCCTCCGCGTCTCGGACTTGTGTCCTTCTCTAGTGCTCGTGTCAACCTACTAGCTGCCTCTGAGTCGTTCGGACTATCGGGCAGAGGTAGAGCATCCCTCTTCACAGACTTCTTCTTCACTCCCTGTACTTCTGCTTTGTGGGTCGACACATTATCCAATCCGAGAACCATCCGGATCAGAGAAAGGATCCACGTCACGCTCCTCGCCCAACGTGAGCCTCTCCCTGATCCTCCGGACCAAAGCCAATCTTTCTTTCATATATCTCCGGCATTTGAAGAGGAAGTGCTCTAGAGTCTC